TTAATTTCAGCTACTGTCAGGGAGGTCAGAATTTAAAGGTATTTCTTACTGTGGGTCATATTCCAGAAAGTGTGAAGATGACTACTCTTTTGGTTACTTCATGCTCCTCTAACATAAAATATACCACAAATGGGTAGCTTAGACAAACAGAGATTTAATCTCTTACAGTTTTGGAAGCTAGAAGTCCAAGGTCAAAGTGCCAGCTCAAGGGGCTGGGTGAAAGCCCCTCAACCTTGGGCTTCAGCTCTGCCTCTTGCTCTTGGCCCACTGAAGCTGGAGGTCTTTCTTACACAGCTGCTGGCTGCTGAGACTGACAAACCCAAGGTCAGTAAATAAAATGGCACAGTCCCAAGATTAACAAACAACATGGCAGGCCACTAGTTCAAGTCCAGAGACAGTCCCAAGATCAGCAGGAAACATGGCAGGCTGCTGAATGAAGACTCGGCTACATGCATGGTCCAAGCATGCCGAAAAGCTGCAGAGACCTTTCTCGGTGCTTCTTATATACTGGGAGCAGACCTCATCCCTAAGGCACCTACTCAGCTGCTCCATTACATTCCACCACGGAGCTGACTGCCAGTCTCATCATGGGGAATAACTACATCCAGTTGCCCAGCCACTCAAAACCAGGCCCAGCCAAGGTGACACACAGCTTGACTACCACAACCACTGCTCAAAAAGTGGGAAAGCTGAGAAGTGATTTCAGTCCCTAGTAGTACTCTAAAGAGACGTACTTTCTCACCGTGGTTTGTGTTTACAGAATGTTACAATTGAAGGTGCTTCCATTGTCGATGGTGACAACCCAGCCACGAATGGAGTGATACACGTCATCAACAAGGTACAACATTCCGTCATCCTACCCATGAGGCATCTCTTCTCTGTTTATTTATGCTCCTGCACAGTATCTTTTGGGGGAAAAAAAAATTTATGTAAAAGTAATCTGTGTTGGGCTTCATTACTTTTATTTTAAAACCATTTAGAGGTTCTGTTCAATCAATTAGATTCAGTTACCATTTGCTCAGGCTATACTCTACAAAAGGAGCCCTGGTGGCACAGTGGCTAAGCACTCAGCTGCTAATGAGAAGGTTGACGGTTCAAACCCATCGTATCTCCTCATCTGGAGCAAGATGTGGCAGTCTGCTTCCATAAGGAGTACAGCCTTGGATATCCAATGAGGCAATTCGGTTGTTGTTTGTTGTTGTTGTTGTTGTT